ATCTATCTGTCTATCTATCTATCTATCTATTTTTACTCGGTTCGCAATTCACCGGCCCCGAAAAGATTGAAGGGATATGAAAATATTTCGGGTCCGCCTGCGCGGTGACTCTCGGCCCTTTTTATATTCCTTGTGGATGCCGCAGCGCCGGGATTTAAATGTCTGGAAAGTAAAGTCTCACTTGAACACAGCTCGTTTGACCTCTCAAAGTTAGGGTACAAATCTGAAAGCTCAGCTATTTCTGGTGGACGCGACTGATGCGCATGCGCCCGTCATTTTTGGGCCCTGCGGAATATCTGCCTGCGTCTGAATCGCTGTGGACGGTAGAACCGCAGAACCGCAAAGCTATCTAACCCCTTGCTCGCACCCACCCCACTGCATTGTGAGATCAACACTGACTCTAGTTCCTCTGCACTCAGGAATCATGTCCCTCTTTGAAGGATCTGGCTGAAGAGAACGCAAAAGCTTGGGCGCCAGGCAAGCTGCTCCCGAAAGGCGGGAGTGCAAACGCCGTGCATCAGTGCCAGGGTAAACTTGTCTGACACTGATAGTTAGAAAAATTCTCAGCAATGCTGGACTTTGCCAATCTCGGAACCACACTTGCGCAGTGTGCCTGCTGCTGCCATTTCATTGCGTGGGCAGCATGCGGGCGTGCAGTTGAGCACTCATACATCACACACCCGTAGGATCACATCCACAGCAGGCACCAGGTGGTTGGCGAGGTCACGCCAAGATCAGGGCACCAGCTTCAAGCTCCCAAAGTCACCAAGCCCGGCTTGAACAAGGTGTCTTGACATCGATAGACGCACCACACGCAGCGCAGACTTCAACTACAAAGGCTCCCATGCGTGTTGCAGAAGGACTGCCTGTAAGCTGAAGCAGAAATACTCAAAGGCTGTGGAAACCATTGCAGATCACAGTGCTTTGCCTGGGTCTGCGCAAGGGAGTTTAGCACTCTACACACTTGCTTTTGAAGATCTTGAATGAATGTCCACCTTCGTCCTACGCCATCCACAGCCATAGGAAGCCTCCCCCATCTGCCAGCCGCCAGCTGTGTTCCTGTCCGTCTTGCTGGAATATCTGAAAGCACCAAGCCTTTCCTTGAGTCCACAGCTTGCTCATCTCCCGAACCATGGCAGTTAAAATTTGCGGCGTCACAAAATCTAGGCCCTAGGATCCCAGGCTTCGTTGGACAAAGCTGTCGAAGAAGCGCCAAGAGCTCGCATCTCAGCAGCAAGATCTTCACTGCTAGCACACTTCCCTAGCTTGCTCCTCTCTTGCGCAAACAAGGCAAAAGGCTTTCTGGCCTTAGGCACAACCCCTTGTAAAATGGCACTGGCTCGACTTGTTAGCCTTGTCCACCAGAGGTGGCTTTATTCTAGAAAGGCCAATCTTGAAAAAATGACAAAGTGCAAACCAAAAAACACTCGCAAAACAATGAGAAACCAAGAAAGCAAAAAAAGTGCAACCAAAAAAGCACCGCCGGGCTTTCTGGCGCACTTTCTGGCACACTTTCCGGCACACTTTTTGGAAGGGTCCACTTTCTGGCACGCTTTCTGGCGTACTTTTTGGGAGGGTCCACTTTCTGGTGCACTTTTGGTTGTGTTTGTTCGCTCTTTTTCGCTTTTTGCGCCAGAAAGTGGACCCTCCCAAAAAGTGCGACAGAAAGTGGCCCTTCCAAAAAGTGCGCCAGAAAGCCCAACCTCAGGGACCTCTTTGTTTTGCTCGTGCTTTTTTGGTTGCACTTGTTCTTTTGCTTTCAATGGTTGCTCTTGTTTTGCTTGCGCTTGTTTGGTTGCTTTTTTGCTGCTTGTGTTGCCTTTCTTGGTAGCTAATTGTTTTGCTAATGCTTTTTTGGTTTGCACTTGCGTTGCTTTTGTGTTGTTTTTTCATGATGATCAACTTCTAGAATAAAGGGGTCTGGCAGACATAATGCTAGCCTGGTTTCCACAATCTTCTTCACCATGAATAGGCCAGTTCGCTGGGGTTCCTCTTCAGGCGCAATGGTGGTACTGGCAATGGCAGGGAAGGAGGCGCCAAAAAGAACCGCAGAACCACTTCTGTGCCAGAACATAGCAAAGCACCCTTCTGCGTGATAATTGAAGACTCAGGAACATCCTCTGCAAACATGGCGGCGTGGAAAGGTCCAACTGGCCTTTGTAAGGGTGATATTTATTCGCATGCGCCACATGGCACATGAAAGTTTCCACGCTTGAAAGTTTTGTTTGTCAACCGGCTTGCTTTCTGTCGCCTTTCATTGCTGGGCAAATACCTTTGTCAGTGATGTCAAATCCCTACATATGGGTTCCATGCCCATATCGTTGCCCGCAAAGCTGTTAGGGTAAGCAAATGTTCTTTGCGTGGCCTGGGTTCCACATTGTCGAGCCAGCTGTGTTCCACCACGGGCCTTAAACATATCGATTGTCCGTTGCGCGTTAAAAAGTTGAAATCCAGTTGGCTCCGGCGTTACATACTAACTCGTTTTGCCTCAAGGGTGTTTGTGTGTGTGGTGTGTGTAGCTTCAACCTGCCAAGGCAGCAAATTGGTTAAGCTCTAAATTTGATTACAGTGTCATTTAAGCCCTTCAAAAATGACTGCGACTGAAACAGCGGTATGTCCCTTTGATCCCTGCGTCTTCGTTGCGATTGGTGTTCAATGGAGGAGCTGCAATACCAAATTCTTTGGTCCTCAGTCTGGTGCGCAGGCCTGGCTGAATGAGGTTGCCTGAGGCCTGTCAACAAGGGACTGCTTTTGTTCTGCCAAAGTTGCATAATCCAAAGTGGGGACTGTGCACTTTGATCGGTACAGCGGACTCAAAGAGCAAAGCCTGAAAAATAAGCACTTTGCACAGCGCAACGGCTCCCCAAAAAACAGCCTAGCCACAGCTGCGATTTCTCCCAGGAGGGAAGAGTCTCAAAGCAAGAAATGCAGGAAATTAAAGAGCTCTTCGTCATTGGTGGCCTCAGTGAGCCGCCGAACCGCAGAAGCACAGGAAAGCTCGAGCCAATATGACAGCCGATCTTGGCGCACTGCTCAACTTCCGCTTTCCATCCACAGGTTCACAGCTTTGTGGGCTGGCGTGGCTACGGCCCTGACGGCATCTTCAGCCAAAGTCAAAGCCAAGAAGGTCAACGCTGCATAGGCTGCTCTAAACTACGCCCACCCTTAGAACAATGACTCGGCCCTTGAAGGCATCCCAGCACCCTTGGGTGTTCATCTGACCCTTAGACACCAAAACCTTTACAGCAATGACTTGAGCATTGGAGGTCTTGAACCCGCAGCTTTTGCGAACGAAGAGTGTATTCAATGTATTCTGACGCAAGTGGAACGACTTGACATCAAAAGATCGCCTTTCATTACACCACTGGTTTTTAAAACCAGAGGTGAAAGAAGTTGGAAGTGACGACTGGCCACCCTGGATTCCAGCTGGCATGACAACCGCTGAACGCTGCAAGGTTTCAAACATCAAAGCAAAAGCCTGTGAGCCATCATACCTTCCCTCTATATACAGAACGCTGAGCTATCATGCCTTCCCTAGTTTGCTGCTGCCTGAATAGAAGGGCTGGAGTATTGGAACGGCTAGAACCACTAGAGCCGGCGATCTTCCTTTAAACAATGCTGCCGCAGGAGACTACTTGGGCCCTCCACTCGAAGAAAGCCGCACAGATCGCCTGGAGAAAGCTTTACTTCTTCAAAGTCAGGAATTAAAATCCGCAATTAAACAGCAATCGCTTGCCGTCGCATGACTTCCAACAAAAAAGTAATTACATGCCATTACATGCGCACGCACGATACCAACTCACCACGCACTGTAGCTCCTCCATTTTCAATCATCATCAACGATGGCTATATGATGGAAGAGTGCCGGCAGCAACTCACCGTGCATGCAATGTAACGCAAACATAGAACCATCCCTTCTGCGGCCACCCATACCGAACAGGCGCTCGGTCAATTTGAGCCACGGCTGCAGCGCATGGTTGATGATCACGTCGTAGTTCCACAGCACACTCATGTGGTCAGCCTTGTATTGCACGCCCTGGCGTGTGCATGGCTCTGCAAGTTTGGAGGTTTGGAAGATGATGGCGAAGAAAGAAGAGTCCAGCATCTTGTTCCTTTCTTCCGCCATCATGTCTAAAGACCGCAGGCCACTCAACACCAAGCTGAGCCCTGTCCAAAGGTCTTGCAGTAGTCCAGGATGTCCTGCGAGGACAGCTCTTGCAGGGGGCAAGCTGACACACATCCAATCAACACACAATGAAACTAAATTGCTATTAAATAGAGTAGTTAATCTCTCAATAATCTAAAAGCCAAAGGGTTGGTCTATGCACTGGAAGGGTCCCTGCCTGAATCTATGTGAGGATGTTGAGAATGCCGACTAGTTGAGCCGTTGAAGCAGCTATTGCGGGAGCGTAGCCGAGTAATTGACAAAACAGCAGAAACATGTACGAAACACCAACATAGATTATAATATATATATATAATGTAGTGTTCTTAAAATGGAACCAACATCAAAAATAGAACACACATGAAAAACGATCTAGGACCAACATCGAAAATAGGAAAACAATAAGGCCCAAATAGGCCAAACATCCCCCCATGGATTGTAGTCCGGCTGGGGCGCCTGGGAATCCTAGGGCCTGAGCCTATCGCTGGGGTGGCTAGAATTCCAGGAGTCATCGAATCAAAATTAATTAGGTCCAAAGAGTGGTGGGTGACCCTTTAGCTGCAAAATAACAATAGTTTTGAGTTACTAATAGCAATGGCCTCCAACCTAATAGCAATGGCCTCCAATCTAATAGCGATGGCCTCCAACCTAGAAGCGATGGCCTCCGGAGAACAACAAATGTACCTGCGTGGTTGTTTTCTTGTCTATTTGATGTCTGTTCTTGCTTTCAGCGGGATGCTTTTCCTGCGCTTGGATAGAAAAATAGATGTGAGAAGCAATCGCTCAACGGACCAAGACCAGTTCCAGCAAACCACTCACATCTTCACTGAGACACTGGATGCCGCCACATGCATGGCATCCCAAAGTTTCGCTTCGTTCCCTTGGTTCGCAGCGTTCAAAGTGCGAAGCTCCCCATCTGCCGTGATCACCTGACAGAGTTTCTCATAGTTTCTCCCAAAACGCGCGGCATCGGCATCTGTTTGGGGGGTAGCCTTTCCTGGAGCTTCGAGGTTTAGTGTCGGGAGGCCTTCAAAAGTACTCCAGGGCGATTCCACAAAGGTGGACCGATGCCGATGCCGAGAAAAGAAACTGAATGAATCCTGCTACCACAGCCACCCAAACGATATAGAGATGCTCCCTGTTTAAAGGCATCACTTCAGCATCTGACTGGTTTATTAATCAAGGAATGTTTGTGATCGTTTCCCAGCAACTCTTGGGTGATCTCAACTCCAAGCATCCTAGGAGGCGGTCGAAAAACCCTCGAGACCGTCACCAGAAATCGCACGAGGGTCTCCACCGGCCTCGATCTCCACAATGGACTCATTGGCCCAGGTGCTGGTGGTAGCACCCCATCCACCATGTAGAGTATATCCCATCACTCCAACGGATTCACATGTCCCATGTGTAAACGACAGGGTCCTGACACCAAGCGGATCCTATGTCCGAAGACAAAGCAAGCCAAATTGAAAAAGCCAGATAGTCGCACAGGCTCAGAGTGGCTTTGACAATCACTTCCAAACACGTCTGGAAAACAGAGCGACATTGAGAACCAACATCTAGAGCAGGAAAAAGTAAAAAACTGCAATTCGCTGATGTACCTCCGTGCGCCGTCCGTGCACCCTCCATGCACCGTACATCGAACCCTCTAAAATAGAACGTGGCCGAGCATCGAGGGCAAGGTGGCGAACATCTTGGCAAAATTCACCCCCGGCTCCATCTTCGCTGTTGCCGAGCCGCCACTGTAGCTGATGGTTACGTTGGAGCCCAAGGTTCGCAAGTCGATGTTGAGGGATCCCGCTTTGAAGGCAACGCAGTCGTAGGTGTGGCCAGATCCACGAAAGGAGATGTCTTAGAATGAACGGCAGGATGGCAGCATGTCCGACCCCCGAGCTTTCCCTGGAGCAAATGAACGGTTGTTTAACTGTTTAACTTAACTGTTTGTTCCGCTCCAGAGTGCTTTTGTCACCCCACTTTCCGAAAGAGAACAGTGACGATCACTCTTCGTGGGTACCAAGTAGTAGTTCTTCACGGATACTGTATTTATTTGCACCTTATGGATCCAACGGCCTTGTCAGAAAGGCTCCAAACCAAAATATCCCCACCTTCTCAGGAGGTATGCGGATGCATGGCTGAACTTGGTATGATAGGTGAGATCATCAACTTTAATGAATCCCCTGATTGAACTCCAGGCTGCTCACTTGATGTTCTCGCGCAAACTTCACAGCCGTCTGGACATCCTGAACGGTCTGTGGCTCCAGGAGGAAGCGCGGAGTCAATCCTGAGCGGCGACTGTTCGAACGCTGAGCGAACGCTCAACGTTGAGCGCGAAACGTGGCTCAAAAGGAGTAGACAGACACAAATACATCTGCACCGTCCAGGAAGCGCCTGAAGACAAATGAACGTGTTTCAGGATAGTCCGCTGTTCAAAAGCTGAGAACTTCTCTCATGGCTTGCCTTTGGGGCCGGTTATAACCGCACGCGACAAGCGACCACCGGGTTTCCTCGGTTTTTCTCGGCACCAAGCTGAGCTGAAAACCGGTGTTCGGTCGTGCCGGTTTTGCCAAAGATCCAGCGCACTCCTGATTGTAGACGTCCTGAGCATGGAAGCGGTACTCGGAGGGGAGGTTGGTACTCCATACGTCGGAGGGTTTTCTTGGAACACCTCTGAGTGGACCAACAAAGGAGCGAAACGATCGAAAGGAAGGGACTGGGACGTTAAGAGTTGCTCACCATCCTCCTGAAAAGTTGATCGGTGAACAGCACCCAGAACACCAGCCATATAAGCCGAATACAAACCATGAGTTCGGCCAGCCAGCCGTCTTGATGCTCAACCCTCATGGCTGTTGTGCTAATATGCATAGGACCACAACCGTACATCAATCCTCCACACCACAATCATACAGCCCATGGATGGAGCTTGAAACTCACGTCAAGCTGATTGTAAACCAAACAGTGTTCTTTTGCCACAAACACACACTCCACCTCTACCCCAACCCGCCCACCACCTGTCCACCAATCTATGACTTCATCATGAGATCATGAATTCGCTTCGTGTTCTTCCTTTTTCTTTCCAACAGATCACTCCAACGTCGTCACTCTTTTGCACCAAGACTCCCAGCCATAGGTTTGCATCTGAGCATCACCGCACAGCACTCGTCCGGTGGGCCACGTGGCGTTCCGCAGAATTTCACAGAGAGGATCGTCCGTGAGTCCCGCGCCACGGATCTCAGCATCTTCGTGGAGGCGTCCCTCGTGCGTCCTGACCGAACTGGTGAGACGGTCGGCCCCGGCACCACGAGGAAGCCTTCGGGGGTGGTTCATTGGTGAGCCCAAAGCCTTCAATGACCCTTGAAACGAAACGGCTGAACGGTTTCTTCCTGTACTAGCGAAGCTTAGGGGTTTTCAGTCTTGGAGCAGATCGGAGCAAGTTCCAGAGCAGTTTCCGGAGTTGGCTCCGGAGCGCGGAGCAAGTTCCTGAGAGCCAATTCCGCAACAGGTTCCAGGGCACCTGTTAGGTCCCGGAGGATCCGGGACTTTCAAACCAGTTTCCAAAATTCTGGACAAAGCTTTGCAGCAAAGCTTTGCAGTTGTGGCGTAGTGGATGTCAATGTCATGCTGGCACGGTGTCATGCTGTTGCCATTCCGGGCTACGGTGCTCACATGGTGTTCGCTGTTACGTCAACATTGAACCATTTTGCCACTCTGTCGCGCTAACTTGCAAACATGCTGAGGTGTTGTCATGCCGATATGCTGACATGGGGTCATGGTGGCGTGTTGATATTAGATATATATAATATATGTGTATAACGCGTTGATGGGGACCCGTAGACACGCTAACGTTGTGATCCCGCCGCGACTGGACAGGGCTGAAATCATTGAAAAATTAAAAAGAATAATAATAATCAAAAAAATAATCAAAAAATAATCAACTCAAGAACTCAAATCCAAAACAGACTCAACAACAAAACTCAAAACAAACTCAAAAACAACTCCAAAGCAAACTCAAAAAATAAACTTAAAATAAAAATAAAAAACTCAAAAACAACTCAAAAACCATGTTTGAGTCCAATTTGAGTCCAATCTGAGTCCAATTTGAGTCCAATCTGAGTCCAATTTGAGTCCAATCTGAGTCCAATTTGAGTCTCTCATTTGAGTGGCTTTGCAATCTGAGTTTCTGGTCTGAGTTTTTTTTGAGTAGGTTGTTGTTTTTTATCTTTTTCATCTTGACCCCTTGCTGTCTGGGTCCGCGTGATCTTAACGCTAACGTGTTCCAAATTTGTTTGTTACAACGCTCATGATTCACAGCAGCATTGTGATGCAAAAACATAACGCTTGCTAGTGGACTTGTGACGTCGCCATTGCCTCATAGGCGAGTTCAGAATTCTTCATGGTTGGGGATCGTTCTTGGGTGTATTGTTGCGAGTCAGTCCACGCGCGGCCACTTTGGTCGGGCGCCCCGGTTCGGCCGCTTTGGTCGGTTTGGCATCGGTTTGGAGGTTTGGAAAATCTGATGTCCTCACCTATATGCACCTAAAGCCTAAAACATCGTACATACTGTGCATTTGTTGTCCTAAGTCCTAGGGTTGCGCAGAAAGTTCTGTTTTCGCATTATCATGATCATGGTCATATATGGTCATGATGCAGGCGTGGAGGGGAGATTTTTGAGTGGGGTGGAGACTGAACGTTTTGTGTGCGGAGATCGTACATGATGGTAGTGGTGATCATAGTCTTTCCTGGCAGGGGGTGTTTGTTGCTTTCATGTGTCTTTCTTGATGACACCATTGCTTTGTGAAAAGGGAGAGCTTTCGCAGCCAGTGGTACAGGGTACGTACAAGAACGTCTTCCTCCAAGCTATTCTGAATCCTAAGCATCCTTACTTGGCTGTTTTTCTATATATAAGGATCACCCCTGCTAGGAATCAAAAGCTTTTACCTGGACATACCTGGACATATGCAGTCCCTGCCAGTGCCCGCCCTCTGATTCTTGAGAAGGGCAAAAAGTTTTATGGATAGAGCAGGGGAAGCCTTTTGCAGCTGTTCCTAGAACAGTTTTCCTTTTCAGCCATCTGTTCACGTCGGATGAACATGATGAACAAGTTCACCATGTCTGCATCGAAAACAAACATCAGCATCAAACCAAAGGGTAATGTAACAAAAGAAGTGAACAAGTCGAGGGCTCCGGTGAAATCTCTGGTTTCACTCGACGGAACTTTGAGTTGACTTATATAGAAGTCCGAGCAGACAGAGCAGTCCGAGCAGTTTAAACCCACCCACGCACTCTAGAAGGATGCTCATTCTCCAAATAATCCTCTTGAGCGTTTCAGCATTCTTGCTTCAGGCCCCTCCATACACCCCATGCATATGGCAGGGGATCTGTGGGCAAGGGATCTCCCTCGCGCGCCGTGCACCAGCTACGGCCCTAGCACTGCCGGCCAAGAATCAAATGCGCCTGAAGCATTTCAACTGCATCTTCCTCACCACCTGACGACAAGGAAGTCAAGCAATGTTCATCAAACAATTCAGATCAGTGATTTCCTTGTGAGTACCATTTATTGTAACTGCTGGTTGTACCCTTGGAGGTATCCCCTCTCTTGATCAACCAACTAGTAAAAAGGCTATCTTTGATTCAGATCCACGTCATGACCCAAAAGAACCGGCCGTCCAGGACGATTCGGGTGGTGTCCAGGCGACCTGGGGAACTCGAACTTGGAATGCCTCTGTGGGCTTTCATAAATTCTAATTAAACATAATTCTAATAGCTTCTTGATACTACTAGTAAGGCACTTGTTACTAGAAGCGATGCACTTGTTACTAGTAGCTTCTTGTTACTATGTGGGAGACCTCTTTGAGGCCGAAGAAGTGCCACAAGTCTTGTGCGAATCCAGTGACGGAGAAGGCCAGCTGGTGAGCGCGAAGTCGCCCAAGGAAATCAGGGAACGATTGGTTGGGAAAAGTACAAGAGTTAGGAAGACAAGACAAGCTCATGCGGAAATTGATTGCTAAGTAGATGACACCAAAAACCTCTTAAAGCTGCATCCAATACCTTGCTCAATTTAAACATGCAAACCAACCCTGTAAACGACACCACCTGCTCGTGCAAAACAGCTGAGTAGTACCTACTGCTCCATTAATTTACTTGTACAACATGAAATGTAACAAAGAACCCCTTCATAATCACCATTGCAAATACAAATCATAGGCCATACACCGAGCTATATGTTTATCAAGTTCCAGAAGTAAACCTTCCGACCGCAGCGGTCGTTCCAAAGAGCTGAAGAGCTGGGAGTCCTCTGCGCAGTGGTGTGGCTCGTCCCATCCGAGTGGATGTGACAGGGGCACCCACAACTGCGACGTCCACCATGGATAGCATCCCGACATGGAACTGTTAGAAGAACACAGTTCTTCAACGCCTTCAATTAGACTCAGAGCCGTTTCTTTTGGGGGGTGTTTGATCCAGTGAGCCCATCCAATGCTGGCAGCCAAAACGAACCCTTCTATTCTTCAAGTCGGTTCTCCAGCCTGAAGGGCACTCACCAGCGCAGGTGGCTGTCACCAGGCTCCAAGCTGCTAAAAAAGCTGCCGCAAAGAACATCATGGCAAGCCTCCTCAAAAGGGGTTTCTTTTCCGAGGCCTTCCTGAGCCAACAAATGGCTGAAAGATGCTGCCAGCAACACCTGCTTCGCAAGAGGACTGCAACATTGCGGACCCTGCTCCCTGCAATTGATCGAAAATAATCGAACCAACGCCTCCAATCTCCTTCTTGATGTGCTCATGAGTTTCCGCTGTTCTGGATGAGTGGTGTGCCACGGAATCATGTTTCTGAATGCCTCATCCTCTTCAGGGCTGCTGAACCCAAACTGGCCATGGTCGTGCCTCATCTCCAAGCTTCCGAAGGCAGCAGCCTGGGACCTGCTGCTAAACGCAGCGTGCAGGTCGCTGCAGCGGGAAAAGACTGCATCGGACCTGAAACAAAGCTTTAAAACTACAAAACCTACCACTTGTCACTATAGATTTTTCACCTACCCAAACCAAACCATTGGGGGAACATAGAGGCTGTTGCCCATGAAACCCAGGTCTTGCTGACCCTGAAATCCAGGTGGCCTTCAGGTTGTTGGTTCTTACCAATACAGCTGTCTATGAGTGATAGCTTGCTGCAGCTTGCCGAGTGGTCCTTCACCTGATTGGCCAAAACTTGAAGTCTCGAACATGCTCCTACATGGCCTTTGGAATCCCTAGCCCCTGGCAGCTCAAAACACAAGGGGTGTGTGTGTGTTGCTGCATACGACATGAAATCCAAAGTGTTTCTTCTTAGTAAGTTCCCTTGGGTGTGAATCTGCTTCTGCTGGTACTTTCAGCTCATGCAGCTCAAAGCAAAAAGACAGCAATCTGATCATCTGCGTTGAACTCGATCTGCAGCTCTACAGGATATGGTTCCCAAAAAACACGGTGCAAATGATGTAATCTTCAATAGCCTCCTCCCTAGGAATTTGTTTACCATAAGCATCTCTCGTCTTGGTGTCCACATGTGACCTTACTGCCTTTCATCGGACCCACGCCTAGCCATTGCTCCGCCTGCGACACGGCACGCTTCTCGGACCTGTGATGGCTCCCGTCAGACTGTCTTCCTTCCGTTTGGGCCGCTTAGGAACATGGGTCAAAGCTGATTCGATGAACATTATGAGCAACAATTTGGGGAAGGTCTAGAAAAACGTTGAAATTCCTCGACCTTCGAAGAATTGGGTCAACTCCTTGAGGTATGAAAGCCTCGGAGGAAGAAATAGGGAACCTGTAAGTCTGAAAGTGGTGCAAGTGGGAGACTGGCGGATGGGGAGTCTCTCAACCAACCAATCTAGAATGACAATATATAAATATATCTATGTCTATATGTGATTATATATATATATATATCTATGATAATCTTTGTAATATCATCACAGAGGAGCTTAGCTGTTCATTGTGAAACTACGTGAAAAGCGTGGAGAAGCCAAATCCCAAGACATCTTGGGACCAACATGGTTCAGGCACCTAGGCTTGACAAAGAAGCAAAAATGATCAGACTCCTCTTGAGTGGGTGCCCAAGAAAATCGGATGCTGAGGAGTTCGTACCTGATCATGGGTTTGCTTCGGGCGAAAGCTCTCTAAACACCAAAAAGAGGCGCCAAAGATGGTCACCCTTTCAGCTCCATAGCTCAGTTCTATCTCACGCTATCTCACGCTCGCGCGATCTTTGCAGTCCAGCAGCCGTTTGCGGTATTCCACCTGAAAGGGAGTGCCGAACCAACCAAGGTCCTGCCCGCGCGGCCCCCATCGTTTGTATGTCTTTTGAAGCACAGCGCGACCGGAAGGGAGCACCAGGGTGAAAAGCTTGGGTCGACATATTATGTAGACTCTTGATTATATGTCAATCCCCCATATGATGAAGACGCTTTACAATTGAGACCTAACAAGTCTGGTATGAGGCCAAATCATTGAAACTGTTTTTGTTTAATGATTTCATTACGTTTTATTTGTGAAAACCCCAATACAACAAAATGGATGAAATCAAAAAGAAAAGGCAAGACATTAGCCCTGTGAACAAAACATAAATTTGTCCATACCATGTTTCATAATTGTGTCATAAAATATGCATAACATGTGCATATGTTTCTCGAAACTTATGACACATGTATGAACTGTTTGTGCAAACTGATTAAAAGTTGTATGACAGTTTTTATGAATTCAGGACTTTATGATTTCTTACGCCGGAATTTATGATTGTGTTAGCGAAAAGTTGAAAAAATATGGTTCCATAAAATCCAGCGCAATGGGTTTATAGAATGTCCTTTAAAACAATAGAACAGATCTATGTTGAAGAGGTTGTACCAACTTGCTGGATCTCAACCTTACAATCCAAATGGTCAGTGAGACTGTATGAATCAAGAGTCTACAAAACACCGGATGTCTAACAGGTGAAGCTTCCCCGGAATCCCCCGGAAGTAGTCAATCGAGGAATATCTGGTAGGTGTTAGAGCTCTCTGAATTCTGAGAACTGTGAAGGTTGTCAAAATCCACAGCGTCTATATAGGTGTTCAGTTCTTTGACTTCCCTCAGTATACGGGGCGTGATTTGGGGGGGAGCATCCAACAACATGTCACAACTACCACACGAGAAGCACTTCCCTCGCATCGAGCGCTGTGTTGTCATCCACAGCCTCGGAAAGAAACGACCCTAAAGTGATCGTGCCACCCACCTGAACGAGCTTCCAAGCAACCAGGGAGATCAGCCAAATACAGGTCGTAGAGTTGCATACACATGATTGTATGTCTTTGACACCTGAGAGACAATCTTTCTCTCCAAAGCCATCCCTTGAAAGACCATGCGACAATGGAACACCCCCATTGACGTACACGCCAGGGTAATGGAGGCCTGATTTGAGTTCAATCATGCTGGCCGCCAGTCTGGCTTTCTTGCAACTTCTGGCAAATCTAGTTACTAATTGTGGGCAAAACCTAGAATCTGAATCTGACATAGAACCCCTGAACAAGTTTCTTTCTTTATGTATCTCATTCTTTCCTCCTTGTAATGGGCTGAAGAACTGAACCTTCTTCTACAAACAACTGATTTTTGTGTTCATACCACTTGGAGAGGCTGACTGTGCCCCCTCTGAGTCCGGCTCCTGGCGGATCTTGTTCTCCAAGTAGATCTTGTAGTTTGGCCCAAACAGCCGTGGGTTGTTGCAAAAGAGCACCAACCTCACCCGCAGCTGGGCAGCTGCCACATGCCAGCTTCGCGCATTTCTGGGGGCGGGGTTGCAGGGGAGGCCCTCCCATTGTTTGGGTGGAATAAGGTGACAATGGGTGTAGCAATGTGTCGCAGTGGAAGAGAAGTCACCGAAACATGATTCCCCTTGCAGTTCTGGGAGAAGGCAGAATCTGAAAGACTATGTCCTGCATCCTCTTGATGGCTTTCTCATAGATTCGTGATCTTCTCAGCGGGGTCGAACTGAGTATGACAGCGGGGTCGAACTGGAAAACTCTTTCCTTTTACCAAACAGCGGGTATGACTGGACCACTCTCTCCCTACACCTCCAACCACCTGTGAAGGTCTGCAGGTAGAGACTGACCCTCTTCAGGGTCACCATCTCAATGATCGTTTCAGGTGAAAGCAGCTCAACTGCTAAAGACCCCCCTGAGTGATTCAGGACACCTAAACGACCTAAACGACCTAAACCTACATACCTATCATTGGGACAGTGCACACTTCGCACTGCTCTTTCTTTTTCTCTGATGGATCTTCATCGCTGGCTTCTTCACTTCGTGCCCTATGGACCCTAGCGATTGCCAGCGATCAATTGGTCACTTCGAGAGACGAATTGATCACGCTTTGCCACCGTTGGATTTAAAGGTACTTTGGAGATCCTGGTGCTGCTTTGCTTTGATCCCAGGTACCTAGAAGTGGCTTCCCCAAGTGACCAAACCACATGCCTTTCCGAAAGCCAAGGTCGTTTTCATGGCTGCAAGGGCAAGGCACTGTGGGGGTTCGATGGCTGTCTGGGTGGCGTAGTAAACGCGGCCCTGTTTGGAGTTGTAGGCCTGCAAGCGTAGCCACGAGCGGCCCAGGCCAGTGACAAACTCAAGGCAAACTAGAATGGGGTACACCCCAAAACGCTACTTTTAATTTAATGGTTGGTAAAACCAACAGATTGGTGAAAGGCACGGTGAAAGGGGACATGGAATGGAACTGGCACCACCAGCCCGCGATTCTCGCCCAAAAACCAAGCTGAGGACGCATTCATCATCATTCATCCAATTGCATGATCCACTTCACCGGCATGACACTTCGGGGGGCCTTGTTACTAGTAGCGTCCTTGTTCCTAGTAGCAAGAATGCTCCTAGTAGCACGGCCAGGAGCCCCGTTCGTCGCGTCCTTGCTCCTAGTAGCGATGCCAGGAGCTCCTAATAGCGAACATTGTTCCTAGGAGTGTCGGATCCCACACCTGGAAGTCAGGAAGTCGGGGCAGTTTCATGGCTTCCACATGACGACTTCGCCGGATGAGACACCGGTGGTGTTCACATCCATGTGGACGTCGGTAGGGGAGGTCTCCAGGTGTTGAGAACTTCCTTTGGTTTTGTATGTCCAAGATCTCAACAGCTCAACAAGTTGAAGGAAGAAATCTGCAATACCAACCCAGGTGCTTTGTTCCCTGAGCTACCCTTGGTTTCTTGACCTTTTCTAGGTGGTACCAGCGTCTTTCATCCTTCGACCGTAAGGATGAAAAGTACTTCGATCAGCAAAGACTCTGCTGCTTGAGAAAGGTCGCTTGATTGTTGTGCGGGTATGGCTAGAAGATCCGTTTTTCCCCGCCCAAAGGGTGACGTCGAACATATCAAGAGTGGCAGGATTCCTACAAAAAGCGACCAAAAACGGCCATTTCTTGCTACAGGGCCTTTTCTTTGTTCAGATTGACCCGCATCCCCAACCCACATCTGCAACACCCGCCTTCGCTGGCGGCAGCTTCCAAAGCAAGGCATCTCTTACGACCTACACTGGGCCGCTTGAGCTCTTGTCTCAGGGAAGACCATCATAGGACATCCACCGATATGGTGTGGGTACTTTCTTGGAGCACTCTGGCCTGACAAGCACGCAAAGTCAGCAGTTTGTTCTCAGGATAAAAGTTATATAGTTATATACCACCTTCCAAAGAAGCACATAATGTTATTTGTGCTTTCTTAGAACCAAGATGTTGAAAAAACACACGTACCAACTAAGCTGGGATATGTTATTTCATGTTATTTCTATATGCTCAAATCTAGCGTGTTTCCGGCGAACTGCTTACAGGTGGTTCTCTTGAAACCAAAAGCACTGCTGGTCAAGGAAGGCTGACACTGCGACCCGAGGACCGCTGGAAAAATGGCACGGAAGCACAACAAGTCTACACTTCCTGGAATAGTCATGGAAGTGGATGGCCCCTTCGATGACAAATGAAATCCTCTACAAACAGGCGGTGAACTCACTCCACTTCTATCGTGATTTCAGAGACTGGCAGTTGTTGATGCGCACATTCCCCAGACAACCCGCCAAATCCCCTGTCAACCACGGCCCAGACGACAACCCGCCTCATTCAAGACATTCGTTGGAATACGCTTCCTGCAAGGGTCTTCCGTTTCGGCGAAGATCAGTGGCGAATGGTGGTTGCGAATGCCCTTGAGACGGCCAGACCGATCTTCTACTCGGGTCCCGAGCCGGTGTTTGCTTTGGAAAATGTAGAGGTTAACATTTTTCCAGCTGCTCATGTTCAGTGGGGCTCTCCCAATTTCAAAAAAAGATGACTTGCATATTATCCACTAGGGTAGGTGTTCCCTCTCCCAGTCTTGCATCATATGCCGCCATCAATGTCTATCCAGCCTCAAAGGCCGTTTGATCATACGGCGATGGGTCGTGGCACACTGACTACCAGGGGTCCGGGTCAACCTACCAGAGGACTTCAAACGTTCGCGTCCAGGAAGAAACACATCAGCTGGATGTGTCTGATCTTGGGTTTGCTTAAGGAGCCCAGAACGGGATGCTCAGCTCTGTTAGACCCATCATGGACTGGTCGGTCCAACCATCAGACACAGTGAGACCCGGTTTGAGTCTTAGAATGTCATAATAGCTCATCAGTCCATTGACCAGGGGGGCGTTGGATGGTACCCGATCTTTAAGCCACAGCCATACAGCCACATCACGATTAAATGGTCTGTCTTCGTTTTTGGGATTGCCCCATATATCTACAGTATACAGTATATATATATATAGAGAGAGAGAGACATTTGTATATGTGTGATTCAACTTCCAACTTCCTGTCTTTCCTGGCGAACTTCAGACTATGCATATACACTTTGAATTTGACAAATATAAGTGAGCGCAAAAAGTACAACTACCGACAAAATACATTGCAAATCCTTACAATAAAGACTTCACGGCCGGTCGCCCACCCCCGCATCCGTAAAAGCAGGCAACAATGGAGAGTAGCTGAATCCCAACAGAATACACCCTCAGAAAAATTGGGTGAATCAGCAAGCAGAGCAAGCAAAGCAAGCAGAATCCGAAAACTCCGTCGCCTGTGGGCTGCCAAGGTCTTGTCAACAGCTTCAAGCACCTGCGACCGCAGACCCAACGGATCGGTTTCGAGGGGGCACAAAGCTGAGGTTGCAGGGGGCCCGGCAAGCAAGAAACAAGTGACCCGTCTGCACCAGGAAGACGTGCGCAGAAGAAACCTGCAACAAGGGTCACAACCCACAGGGGTCCTTCAAGGTTTCTGGAAGGTCTGTGTGGTCCAGGGGTCCTTCGTTGTTCTTCAAACTGAGCTTCATTGGCTTCACGTTGAAACCTTAAAGAAATGAACTGATGTAGGGAATGATCCGAAACACTCTCCCCCAAACGAACGGGCATAGCTACATGACATAGCCATAGTGCTAGCTGGGAAGCTTTTCTGGACTCCAGTTGACTATGACTTCGGATCTCATCATGGTTTCATCCCATCATCCCATCTGCCCACTCAATCTCACCTTTAAAACAACAAGAACACCAAAGACCTAAAATCTTCTCGTTATATAATAGCGATGGCCTCCAACCTAATAGCGATGCCCTCCACCTATTAGCTTCTTGCTACTAGAAAGCTTGCTTGTTACTAGTATAGCGATGGCCTCCAACCTAATAGCGATGCCCTCCACCTAGTAGCTTCTTGCTACTAGAACGCTTGCTTGTT